AACCCAGCACAAACACACACACGCACACACAAATATGCACACTCTTTTTAGTTTAATAAATGCGTTCTTACCAGGGCATACATGCACAGAAACACTTTTTACTTTTCATGATACTAGAGAGAGCATCTGCAGAGCGATCTGGACAGGCTGGATTGATGGGCCAAGACCAGTGGTATGAGGCTTAATAAGGTGAAGTGCTGGGTCCTGCACTTGGTCAAACAACCCCATGCAGCACTGCAGGCTTGGGGAAGAGTGGCTAGAAGTGGTCCAACAGAAAAGAACATGGGGGTGCTGATCGACAGCTGGCTGAACATGATCCAGCAGTGTGCCCCGGTGGCCAAGAAGGCCAGTGACATCCTGGCCTGTATCAGCAACAGTGTGGCCAGCAGGACCAGGGCAGTGATTGTCCCCTTATACTCCACACTGGTGAGGCTGCACCTCAAGTACTGTGTCCAGTTCTGGGCCCCTCACTACAAAAAGGGCATTGAGGTGCTGAAGCGGATCCAGGGAAGGGAAACAGAGCTGGTGAAGGGTCTAGAGAGTAAGTTGTATGAGGAGCGGCTGAGGAAGCTGGTGGTGTTTAGCCTGGAGAAAAGGAAGTTCAGGAGAGACATTACTTCTCTCTACAACTACCTGAAAGGAGGTTGTAGCAAGGTGGGGGTCAGCCACTTCTCCCAGGCAACTAGTGACAGGAGGAGAGGAAACAGCTTCAAGCTCAAGGGGAGGTTCAGGTTGAAATGCCATGTGGCAAAGCCATCCAAAAGCCTCCAAAGCAGCATCCCTGATTGTCCCTCACCATTAGCTGTGCCTGGCCCTTCTCCTTTGATGATGAATGCTTGTAAGCACCCTCTCACCATGCAGCATGGCCTGACCACTGCCCAACTCCACAGACATCTTCCCAGGATGAGGACAACCCAGTTTAACTCTTCTGTGGCCAAGCGTGCCAGTTAAACTAGGGTGTTCTCATCCAGAGAGCTGGTGGGCACCGCCAAGCCACCCTGTCCTTTGCCTTTTGCTGCTTTCCCCTGAAATAACAGTGAAATAATGTGGTCAAGAGACACATCCAGAAGTCGGCCATAGACCAGGAGGTTCAGAAGTGGAGGGGCCAGGGTGCCCCCAGGATCAAGGGGCGGGTGCAATTGTCTGAGATAAGTGCCATGTCCAGCACATTTGGATCTGGGTCTTAGTCTAGCAGTAGTTTAGTTTTCCAGTTTACCTGTGAAGTGCTTCAAAGGGCACTGAAAGGGTCTGCAAAGGCCAGCAGGAGCATGAGCAACTGCTGAAGCCTGCAGGGAGGCTCCCAGGCTGCCAGGGCAGGCAGCAGTGGGAATTTTATTGCTGACTCCCGGAGGAGCAGAGTTAGGCGATCACACAAAGCTTTCCCAATACAAGTTCAAATGTATGAATTTACCATATCTAACACCTCCTTGAAATCCAAACAGACTCAATTACATTCTCTTTCTGTAATGAATCAGTAATTATATTGAAGAACACTATTATTTGTTTGGCATGACCTATATAAACCCAACTTGGGGAGTGCATAGTTGGTGTGGTGCCAGTGCTCTGTGCCCTGCGTATTATTGCCTTATAAACACAACCATTGTTTGAATTTCAGATCAAAACAAACCGAGCCACGTCGCTTGTCAGTTATTAGATATCTTTTTCCCAAATGCTCACCCAGGCCGTATTACAATAACAATAATTATTATTACATACTTCCTTATTATATGTTTATGCCGAGGTAGCACATTTGCCTTTTTCCCACACATTAGTTGCTTCTCCTGACTCTTATGATTCACTCCTGCCTATTTCCCAATGTCCATGAGCTCTTTCTGCATTCCCGGCTGCATTTTGTCAAGACCTGCAGACTGGCACAGCGACTCACGGTGCTGTATTGCCCCAGCCTGCAAAGGGTTGCAACCAGCACAGGGGCTTCACTCTTCAAGGGAATATGCAAACAAAAGAAAGACGTGGACCCTGCCCCCAGGTGCTTTATAAATATTTAACTTGGTCTGATAATGTGATAAAGACTGATAATATGATTTGGACAGACTAAAACCTAGCCCTGCTTGGGTAGGGCTGGAAATGGACCCTCTGTGGGACACAGCGGGGGAAAGGGGCAAGCCAGAGCCCAATGAGATGATTCTTTCAATGGACACTGCTGCAGCTGGGAGTAGGACTCACCTTACCCAACTTGGGACATCCAAAATGTACTTGTCAAGTCCTCAACAAGTTGCCGACCTGCCTTTACAGTCACGGAAGAGAAGCAGTGCTTGGCTGTTGGGTGAGTCAGCCCTTCTCAAGATAAACTTCAAGATATGTGAGATGAATCATACACTAAAGGTGCCTATTTGTCTCCATTGACTATGCAGGAAGCCTGTCCAACTAATTAGGTTTAGACACCTAACTTTTAGGCACCTAAAATCAGACTAGAGGAATCCCATCCTCACAAACATTCTTCGTTACTAGCTTGACAAAGGAGGCAGTGGGAGAGGCTCCCTGAAAATTCCCTACCAGATTTGGACCTAACCAAACTCCTCCATCCTCTGTGCATGTGAATCTGCAAAGCCTCACCTTCATGTCCTCCCCATGGAGCTCCTACAGGCATGGGGTGCTCCAGCCATGCCCAGCTGGCAGAGATGAAGCATGTTTCCTGCTGAGGACTGAATGAGGCAATGGTCTTGTGGGAAAAGATACAATAGTGGAGCCGAAGACTGTATTATAATGTATTCAGAGCAGGCAGGAGGAACATAAAAAGAGAAAAGGAGATGATCTTGGCTTCCTGCCTGGTGCTAAAAGTGTGTTTTGGTGGAACAGGATAGGTGGGAAAGCAAGCTGCCTCCCTAATGCAAATATCTCCTGAAGCTGTAAGATGTGTGGAGTGCAACCCATGTGTTTGGAAACAAGGTTATGACGAGTTCCACCATGAAGGGCCAAAATGGTATTTTTCAGAGAGTTACAGCTGAGCCTGTTGGAGGTTAAGCGGCCACCAGCACTGAAAGCAGCACCTTCTGACACCAGCCCTTCATGTCAGATAAATGTCATGACCCGAGAGGATCCTGAGTAGTTTTAGACTTCCTCATTTAAAAACAAACAAAAACAAACAAACAAAATTGGGAAAGCACTTAGTCCTAACACATTTTGTTGATGAAAAAAATCATGGAAACATTCCACTGGTTGATGTCTGCTGAATAAATCAGCAGCCAGAGCTGCTCTGGCTGGAAATAGGCAGAGGCCAACAGAAATCACTGTGTTGCATTATTGCCTTGCTGTGTATGGGCTTGGGACTGTGGAAGCAGGATTTGAAAAAAGTGTGGAATTTGTCCTGTTTTCTGAGACCTGTGCTTTCCATGTCCCTGATCATTTGTTACATGCACTAACTACCCTCTTGATAGAAGGGCAATAGCTGTTTTGATGTGTAACAGGTGTCACTTGCTCCTTTTTTTCTGGAAACTGCCAACAGCTTCTTTAAAGCTTCCGGCACTTCCCTTAACCTGAACAACAATTTATTCAGATGAGAGATATTTGATTTTTCTCTGCTGTGGCAGACACAGAGCCCCATGCAGATTAGGCCAGGTTAAGGGCATCTATTTGAAGATATGCCCTTGCTGTACACCATAATCAGTTCCTGAGGTTGGGCCCAGCAGGGATGCTTGGGACCCCCACGTGCACAGCTGACACCTGGAGGAAAGGAGGTGCTGGCACCTGGCTGCGCAGGTTGTCCCGTTTGTGTGGAGTCTCTGCAGGGAGGGGGATGTGGTGCTGCTTTGGAGACCTGCAGTGGGATGGCACACCACTCTCCACATCAGCTGCTTTGTGGATCTGCTCCACCAGGGATGAGAAACACATCTTGCTCCATACCTCACCTTGCTGTAGCCAGGCTGGGCACTTTCTCAGCTCCCATTACCACACTGGCAGGATTGGAAATCCCTCCTCTAGCTTCATGCAGTTGCGGCATGTTCAGGGAGGAGATCAGAAGAGACTTGCCTCTTGCCCTAGAGGGTTTGTAACTTCACTGAGAACAGGCAAACCCCCTAAGAAGAGGGAGGTTTCTCTGCAGGAGGTGGTAGGTGCCAGGAGCAAGTGGGCAGCAGGGAGATCTGCAGCACTGCATGAGGGGCGTTCTGGGCTTTGCAACCCTGTGTCCAATAGGGTGTGCAGACCCCAGGCAGGGTGGTGGGTGCCCTGCCAGGGAGCTGGGGTACAGCAACAGACCCACACCCAGGCCAGGGTCAGAGGGGCAGATGTTCCTCTTCAGGCATCTTTGCTTTCCGCTACCATGCATGAGCTGGTACTGGTGAAGCTCTTTTCCTCCAGCCCCTCAAATGTACTGGCACAGTGGTTTGTGTCTCAGCCCTGCTCCCACGCCCCGCACAGGCTGCATGTGTCTGGGCGCAGCTGGACGGATCCCAGGATGTGGCTGGGCCAGCCTCCTGAACAGTCATGACAAGCAGCTAAACACTATCATGGGCTTGCTGTCCTGCTATGTGGAAATATATTAATTGCATTAGTATTTCCACTGGAAATTATAACTTAGATCCATTACCTTCAGCCAATTTCCTTACCCTGCGTCTGCTAAAAGGACACCTCTGCTTTTTCCACTGCAGTGTCTTGTCAGTGCTAAATTTGTGGCAGGCTAGTCACATCCATGTGACACTTTCAGAAGAGGTCACACATTACCTCCACCTCTTGTCTCCACTTCCCCTCACTTCCCCCAGAGGTAGCCCAGGATCTGAGCTACTGAGAAACAGAAACCCCTCTTTATGAACAAAAAATCAGATCCCAAGCCCCATTATTAATTAGTAAAGATGTCCTGTAATTTAGATCACATCGGATGGTCTTTAGGTCATTCACAGGTGTAAAGTCAGGAGGATTAAGGGCACATATCTGGCACCACTGCAACCAATTCCAGCAAAAATAATGGAGCTCGCTTCTTGGTTTTCCTGCCACCACAAAGTACACACATGCACACACTCTCTATTTTACGAATGTTTACATACCCGAGCTGCCAGGAATCTCACGCCCGTTGCTTCCCACCAACTTAACACACTTTCCTGTATCTCTCGGAATTTGTTTTCTCACCGGACAGCTGGTAATATCCCTTTCGCTTGGGAGCAGGCAGAGACCGGGCTTCCTCGGGTGCCAGAAAAGCCTGGCAGAGGGCGCACCTACAAGCTGTGGTTTCCATACCAAGCCATTTACACCTCCCAGTGGCTACCCAGAGATGTTCGTTCCATGGAAGAAATGCAAAGCCAAAATAAAAGGAAGTACTAAAAAGTTACAGACAGGTGAGAAATGGCCATGCTGGCATCCGCCTACTCCCCCTGAAAGGCCACAGCGTCTGAGGTGGTGCCTGGAACAGAGGAAACATCTACACCGCTTGCAAAGACCAGCAGAAATGCACTTCCACACCTCCACCTCCAGGGGCACAGCCAACAAAAATAGCATCGGACACAAAAGATATGAATAGAATAGTGACTGCAGAAAGCCTCGACTCATTTTACACCCTCAGCAAAATTAAAGGCAGGAGGTTTGTCCTTCCTCTGTCCTCAGCCTCTGTACACCGGAGCACCAAAACAGAAAGGACATGTCTATTTACCTGAAGATTCCCATGTGAGCAGGGGAGTGAAATGCCCAGCTCATGTAAAACTCACAGGGGAAAACCTTGCTCATGACGAAAGCACTTCCTTTCCTACCTTGAAACTTTGGGAACTGAGCAGTAGGAGGGGGAACAAACCAAACCACCCCACCCCCACCTTGTTTTCAACAATTCAGACTTTTTTGTACTCATGTTCTTGCTCAGTAACTCTGACGCAAGCAGAGCTGCAGACTTTCTACTGCCAAACGGCTCCAGGTGAAGTGCAGATGGCTTAAGACAGCAACCTTCTTCTGTTGCTATGGGAGCTGTACCATCATCAAATATATTTGTGACAAAGCTGGCACTTGGATTCAGGTTATACTCGATGTTCAAAGTAACCTCTTAGTATCCTGATGGGGAATGAAACTGGGCAAACAGTGCAGCCCCCCCACGAGACTGTTCTCCAGCCTTTAGCACAGCCCAGCATGTGAAGCATTGCCCAGTGGCTCGAGGACGAAACAGTGCTGATTTGTACTTCCCAGTGCTTTTCTCCTGGCTGGCCCAAACAATCTAACATTGCACAGCTAATACCAAATTTGTGAGACACACACACTTCCAAGCCCATTAGGGTTAGACGGAGTATAAAGCCTAAAAGTAGACCCCAACTATGTAAAAATAATCAAACTGGATCAGGTCAAAGGTCTGTTGTGCCTTTCCTCCAAGAGCAGCCAATGCTAACGGGGGAAAACAGGGGAATGAGAGTGATACTTTTGCTGTGCATTGTCCAGCAACATGTTGCAGAGGTTTGCCTTTGCCTTTAGTAAACCTCCAGGGACTTTTCCTCCATAAATTTGTCAAATTGCTTTTTTGACCCAGTTTATACTTTTGACCTCCACAGCATCACGTGCCAGTGAGCCCACAGTTTTATACACACATGCGACTGGAAAAAGTAATCCTTTAAAACTCCTGTCTTAATCATCTCATTCACTGCCCCCCTTTCTCCCCCATTTTCTAGCCACTCTGGACCATTTCAGCTCTAATTCAGGAAACTGGTTCTTAATTCCGCTGTTAATGTGTATACAGGTCTGATGCAGAATCTTATTCCTCTGTATTTTGAAACAAATTTAGTATCTGCTTGCATTGAAAGCAGAGAAGGTGAATGCTTCAGAAGCTGCTCTGGTGCTGAGCACAAGTCTGGGAATGGCTTGGGAGGTCCTGGACATTTATTCCCATGCCCAGCTATAGTATCCCAAGTGGAATGTGCTGGGCCTTGACAGACTGAGAAGGGTAGTGAGCATGGCATTGCATTCATTCACTTTTTCAGTAATCTTCTTTAATAATTGACTTTCATTTATTCATTTACCTATCTTAATTCATTTGCATCTATCAAAGTTGTGGCACGGTTCTGGCGGGTGGTGCAAGGCTCTTGATTTTTCATTCCTCTGCTCGGTGTGAATTCATGCCCACACAAATTCCCAATCTGGCCCGGAGGGCTCTGACTTTTAGCCACGAGGTGGGGTGAGCAGCTAAATTTCTCATCGAGCATGTGCGCAGGCAATGCAAGGCAGACCACCATGGAGTCGGGGTTTGCCAAGCTAAATCACTGGAAAAAAATTTCTTCTCAGCTTCAGCTTTTGCTGCTTGATCTGTGGAAATGTGCAACCTTTAACCCCACGTTTCCAAAACAAACGCATACGATGCAAGCGAATAACACGAAAGCAGCAGGGGTGGGCGGCTGTGCTGGTGGAGGAGCTGCCGGCCCTGGGCTCTCCGCTCTCCTGCACCTAGTTCAGCCTCACACCCTGGTGGGCCGAGAGAAAGGAACCGTGCAAAAAACAGGCTGGGAGCGACTCGGTAGTGAAATAGTTATCTCGGCTGGCTTTCTCGGTAACTCTTGGAAAGTCCCCGAAATGACGTTTCTAACCTAACAATTAAAATGGGTTTAATTATAGAGAAGCTCAGAGCCCTGGGAACAAGCACCATCTACAGAACGAGTAAACAACTGCAGAAAATAATAGGCTGTTCACTCCCCTACTCCTCACTTCTGGCCAAGGCGAGGGGAGAAAAAGAAACTATAAAGAGAAGGAAATTTGAGGAACCTGACTGCTCTAAGTAAATAATAATAATAATAGAAATCTGGAATAGCCTGAGCCTGTGGGGTTTCAGTTGGTTATTTTGGCTGTTCTTGAAGACCAAAGGTGGAGAAAAAGATCACCCGCCAGTGCAAAGTCCAGATCCCGCGACTCCAAAGCAAACAGAGGAGGAAGTGGATCATTCGTTTGAAGTTTTCAGTGCGATGGCTGCTCAGGTCAGGGCTCTGCAGCCTAAGTCAGTTCTCCCAACCAAGCCAGATCGCAGGGCAGGAGGAAGAGGCTGCAGCGCCAGGGTGGGCCCCCCTCTCCCGCCTGCACGGGGCAGAGGGCCCAGATGCCGTTGCTCAGCCTTAGGGGAAACACCCACTGAACTTCTAGCTGGGAAGAGCCTCGCCTCAGCTGGAATAAAGGGGCAGAGACTGAGCTGAGGCACCCTGATACTGACAAGCCTTGAATAGTTCAGCTCATTTTTATTTTTACACAAACTGCCACCACCTTCCCCCTCCCTCCCCCCGTATCGAGATCAGAATGAATCACTGAATCATACTTTGTCTACTAAAACCTGGAACAGATTACTTGCTTAGAGACTTTCTTTCTTTTCTTTTTCAGTTTTACAATGTTGAATTCTGGGGACTGGAAGACGACTCTCTGGGGAGAAAAGGCAGGATTTATCAAACGTCCTTTTAAAGGGCGTATTTTAACAATTTAAATTAATGTGGATGTGAGCTATTTCCCCTTGTAGAACTTGCCAGGTTTCAGTAAAAACTGGAAAAAAAGAGTAAGGCTATGGGGGGCGGGGAGCAGGGGCGGTCAAGACAAAGCCCGCCAGCGCGCACAGTCTCCGGGCAAGCGGCCGCACCGAACACAGCTCCGATCAGTTTAAATCCAAGCAGACAGAACCCCACTGGATTTTCGCGGGCAAAACCGCCCGGCGCGCGCGGAGCACGGAGCGCGCCGCGGGGCCGCGGGGCCGCCGAACCGCGCCCGGCCCGGCCGTTGGGCGCGCGGGACAGCACGGCACGGCACGGCACGGCACGGCACGGGACAGCGGCGCGCGCTGCACCCCCCCCCGAGCCGCGCCCCGCGCTACACACGCGGACACGCACGCGCACACGAGGACAGCCGCGCACAACGTGGAGACGCGCGGGCGGGGGCGCGCGCAAATACACGCGCACACCGCACAGGCGCGCGGAGTCAGTCGGTGCGGCCACACAACCGCCCCCTCCCGAGCGGCGCGGGGCGGGGCGGGCCCGGCCGGCACTGCCACCCCCCCGCAGCCGCTTTGCCTTCTTCACTCCCCCCCCGTCCCTCCTTCCTCCCCAAAGTTTTTCTGGCCCTGCCCGCCCGGGTGATTCAGTCGCGGTGTCAATCACCCTGCCCTCCTCCACCTCCTCCCCTTCCTCCAGCCGCCGGCTCCTCCTCCTGGGGTAAGTCCGAAACTTTATAAGTTGAGCTTTCCCCGACCCGCTGGAAGTAAGGAGTGAGCGCGGCGGCCGGGTGGGCTGGTGGCGGCATCAGTAGCAGCGGGGGGAGGCTGCGAGCCGGGGCGCTGGAGGCTGTGCCTTACCCACGCCGTGACTCCTCGTGTCCGAGTGCCGCTGCCCCACTCGCTTCCCCCCTCGCTTGCCGAAGATGTCCACAGCTCTGGTGTCGCCTACCATCTTCGACTTGAGCGAAGTTTTATGCAAGGTAAGGGGGCCAGCGGGGGCTGCGCCACCAACTCCGGGAGTGTCCAGCTTCTTCGGAGTTTGTGTTTTTGTTTTTGGTTGTTTGTTTGTTTTTTGTTTGTTGGTTTTGTTTGGGGTTTTTTTCCCGTTTTCTGGTCGTGAGCAAGTTCGGCACTGGGACCGGAGGGCGCAGGGTGGGGACCGAGCACGACCACCGGGGTGCGGGGGTTTCCCGCCCGCGCTTCCCGCCTCCGCCGCTCCGGAGTGGGGAAACCGCCCCGCACTCCCGGCGGGCTCGGCCGCGGCGCCGAGCGGGGGGGCCGGATCCTTCCCGTGCCGCTGGGGCCGCCGCGCTTCGACACGGCGGGGCGCGGCGGGCGGCGCTGCCGCGGGGACGGGCGGGCTCGGTCCCTGCAGGGCTCGGCCGCCCCTCGCGGTGCCGCGCGGGGCCCGGGGCGGCGGGGGCTGGGCGGGAGCGGTTGGGCGGGCGCCGCGCGCTGCCTGCCCTGCCTTGCCCTTCCCTTCCCGCGCGCCGCCGTCCCCAGGGGCGCTCCCAGGAAAGCGCTCCGTTCCCGCGGTGTTGTCGGGCGCTGTCAGCGGCCCCCCTGTGCCTGGCGCTCCGCTCGCTCCGTGACTGCGCTGCGCCGGGGACGGGGAGTGGGCGGCCCGGGGCCCTCGGGTGGAGCGGTGAAGGGGGCTGCAGCAGATGTGGCTGCGGAGGAAGAGGGCGGCGGGGCGGGCCGTCGGGACAGGGCGGCCGCCGCTCCCACGGCCACGGCAGTGGGAGGCGGTGAGGTGCCGTGCCACGCTGCCGGGGCTGCGTGGGGACGCCGGAGGAGATGGTGGCAGTGGCAGTGACCGGCCCTTCCTTTCTCCCCGCAGAGCAACAAGATGTTGAATTACAGCCCCTCGGGTGTCAGCGGGTGCCTGCTGGACAGGAAGGCGGTGGGCACTCCGGCGGGCGGCGGTTTCTCTAGGAGGCACTCTGTCACTCTGCCCAACTCCAAGTTTCATCAGAACCAGCTCCTCAGTAGCCTGAAAGGGGAGCCGGCTCCCATGCTGAGTCCCCGGGAAAGCCGCTTCCGGGACCGCTCCTTCTCCGAGGGCGGCGAGCGCCTGCTGCAGCAGAAGCAGCCTGGGGGACAGGTCAACTCCAGCCGCTACAAGACGGAGCTGTGCCGCCCCTTTGAGGAGAACGGCGCTTGCAAGTACGGCGACAAGTGCCAGTTTGCCCACGGCATCCACGAGCTGCGTAGCCTCACCCGCCACCCCAAGTACAAGACCGAGCTCTGCCGCACTTTCCACACCATCGGTTTCTGCCCCTATGGTCCGCGCTGCCACTTCATCCACAACGCGGAGGAGCGCCGCGCAGTGGCGGGGAGCCGGGAGCCCGCCGTCACCGACAGACCCCGCCTGCAGCACAGCTTCAGCTTTGCCGGCTTCCCCAGCACTGCTGCCAGCGGGCTGCTGGACAGCCCCACTTCCATCACCCCGCCGCCCATGTTGAGCGCCGACGACCTGCTGGGCTCCCCCACCTTGCCTGACTGCGCCAGCAACCCCTTCACCTTCTCCAGCCAGGAGCTGGTCAGTCTCTTCGCCCCCAGCATGGGGGTGCAGGTGCCCGGCGGGAGCTCCCCCCCCACCTTCTTGTTCAGGCCCA